CACTCCTTGATAAGACAAGAAGTAGAACATCGAGGTAGGAAAATGTCCTGATACACAGTGGTATCTTGTAGCAAAATATAGTGATGTAGATTGATAATAGAATAGACAGAAAGAGAATTTAATGGAGTATGCCAAAATCAGCACATGCATGAAAATTTTATTTATGAGTAAGGATTGTTCTAATAAGTATTAATTGAAAAATCATTTTACTATGGGCTTTTAACAAGGAAATGGCATCATTATATACTAGGTTTTTTCCACTGGCTTTCTGTACTATGGGCCCAATGCTCTCTTTCTGGCCACTTTCATCTTAAACTTGAAGCAAGTGCCTCCTTGGAGAAAAGAAATGATGACTAGGTAGTTTTAATGTCCCTTTCTCACTTTCTAAAGATTATTAAATACACAAATTTTATAACTAATTGTTCACTATGCATATATATGAGTGTATATATATATATAGTCTAAAGTTCACTTTAGGAAGCCAGCCTTATGTTTGACAATTTTTAAAGTCTTTCTTTTCCTGTTCATTGACTCTTTAACCTGTGCACAACACAATTCCAATTAAATACAGGTACTATAAGCTGCAGTTATGTCATGGAACACGTGCAGGGTTGGGAGTATAGTCAGATAATTGAACATTCTCCCCACCACCTCCAAATAAATTCTCTCTCCCTCCGTGATTCATCGATCATAAGTTGGTTTACTGTGAGAGAAAAGAAACGGATAGGTTGAAGCTGTCCCCAGGTGGTAGATAGGATGAACTGCCTATGAAACAATACAATCTGCTCCAGGCAAATTTCATTTCAAAATGTTTCTCCCTGTGGGATCTGACAGCAGCAGGCAGTTTTTGTTCCAATTGCCAGGAGCATTAGCAAATCATTCTGCCTGTTGTGTGTTGTCACCTATCAAGCCTATGAGTTACTGTTTGAGTTTGGTTTTCTTTTTTCTTCTTCTTCAAACCAACAGAGCAAAGTGGAAGCAGAATATGTCATCCACGCAGTTCCAGTCTGTTCTATTCAAGAATTCGACATGCTCAGGCCTATGCTTGGCTTTCAGAACCACATGCCTCCTCTCCAGCCCTCTTTATGTCCAATAGCCCAGTGCATTTATTTTTTACGTCTTTGACTAGCCAGACATTCTGTTGCTCTCAGCCCTGATATTTCTATATAGTTTCTTTTGGGCTACTTCTCCTTTCATGCCAAGTTTATTCATGTATCCTGTCACTGGGACATCTCCCCAACCATCTCCACCATCTTTTAAGACCATTTGTGAATGTGGCAGCAATGGTTGGCAGCAACCATTTCTAAATTTTCATCTTAGACCCACAAATTGAGCCAACCTATCTGTAAACCAAGCTCAAGTTATTTCTCTTTCACTTGGTTGGATGGCACCTCTGCCCAGATGACCACAGATGTGAACTGGGAAGGGAGACTTATGTGTGGAATATGTTGCTCCCATAGCCCAAAGGGATCTAGCCAGTGGTGTGCTGTTCTCTGAAGAAAAGAAACGCAGCTACAGCATTCTTTATCACTCTAGAGAGAATATTCAGGTATATCCCTGACTACTGAGTCTCTAATACTTTATTGAAGGGGCAGGTCCCTGACTCTTCCCAGGACCTTTATCTGACCCTCTGGAGCACATGTTTGTTACCAGGGGACACTAAACTTCACTTCCCGGTCCTGCTCAATCAGCATAGTGGCATTGATGGAGTGGATCAGTGGGATGCTCAGTGGGATGTCTAGATCTCTTTGGATTACATCACAACTGACAACGGAGAGTGAAAAGAAGGCTGAAGCAAAACTGTAAACTAATGTTTCTGTCTATTTTATGGGAATACAGATTGCTCTGAGACCAATAGAGTAAAATAAAAATACAAATGACATTTGCTAATTAATGGAGCACATCCTTTACCTGAGGAATTATTAGTCTGCTCTAACAACACTGCCACGTCCGGCACAGCAGCTGAAATTGGGGCTATTACTTGGCTGAATGTGCAGTAATCTCCACTCATGTTGCTGGATCTAGCCAGCTTCTGCAAGGCTCAGAGAGTCGTGGATTAAATAGATACGACAGAACCCCCCACCCCATCCCCACATTCTTTTGGGTTTTTTAATGGTGGAGTTTATTTTTGCTATTTCCCTGGGATGTGATATTGTGATTTATTATCCTGGATGAAGGGTGAAGAGAGAAAGATTCATAGACTTCTGTTTGGTCTTTCCTACTGTGGTAACTCTTACCTCATAGGCCAATGTCTGTCTCAATGTGGAGGCACCTAAACTTTCAAGTATGTTGCTTCAACAGTACACTCAGGGACTAGAAAAAGGACCAGTGGGCCCACTGTGAACTAGACTTTTTCTAGACTGCTTCCTGACCCCTATAATCCTCCAATTTAACAC